TAGGTTGGCACAGGATCAAGCAGGGTCTGGGGCCCTTGTACCTAGGGTCACTCTGAGTCACCAGAGACTTGATGGCACATAACAACAACAATAATTATCTCAATTTCCCACACCACCCACAAGTCCAATTCTATGGACTCCTGGTTCTTAGTTCTTTTTCCCCAACTTTACCTCATCAGTTAAACGGAATCATCCAGGGACATGATTCCCTCCCTCTGAGCTCTGATTGCCTTTTTCCTTCAATGACACTAGAAAAAGAAACCACAGACAGCTTTGCTTCCTCAAATCAACACAAGGTTTCTTAACTCTTCACTGAGCTGCTCTGGCAACCAAATCAGATCGCTCAGGAACCAGTCTTGAGAGCAAACTGTGCTTCACTGTTAAAGAATAAGGGAGGGGAGGAAAGATAGGGGCCAGGGGCTCCCTGGATGGCCCTGGAATTCTAGACAATCTGTGCTGGCAGATTGGTAGGAATAAATAAAGAGATTGTCTGCTAACTGAATGATTGAAGATATGAATGAGTTCACTGGATGAAAGCCCATCAATTGACTTCCTAACAACAACAAAAAACAGCCATTGAAAGTCCTCCCAAGCACAGTTCTACTTTCTGGTACATGAAATCATCACCACCGTGAACTGAAAACAACTCATTCTTTCCTGGTGGAAATAATATCATTTCTTGTTAAATAACCGAGCAAACCCACTTCTATCCTGTTGATCCTGACTCATAGCAGAGTAGAACCATCCTGTAGCATTTCCAAGGATTTATAGAAGCTAACTGTATTCGAACTGGCCACGTTTCTATTAACTGGCCAGTGCTTAATCCACCATGCCACCAGAGCTCCTTTTGTTGAATCAAAGCTAGTTTAAAGACTGTGGGCCCCTGGGGACCCTCGTGCCCCTGAGAAACACTGTCTTTGACACCAGCTGGGGGAAAAAAATCACAAGGAGGAAGCCTTCGGGTCTGCCTTCACCCAACCTGTAGAACTCCCTCCAGTGCCCAGCTAGGAAATTCTAGATTTTATTTATTTGCAGGAGGAAGAGTCCCTGCCATTTGCCTTCCTACTGGGGCCACATGTGGTCCTTAATACTGTGCTGTTTAAAGTAGAACCATAGGAAATTTTTCAGAGCATGACGCTTCAAAGTCATGTCAGAGAAAGGTCAGCCAGGCAGCCTTGGGTTCCACCTCTGAGCTCTCTGTCTGCTGGCCCTGGACATTCACTTGTCCTTTCTGTGTCTCACATGCCTCTGTGAAATAGCACCACTGAAAGGTCAGCAGTTCGAAGCCAACAGACGCTCTTCAGGAGGAACATGGACCATCACCTCCTGTAAAGATCTCTAGCCCTGGAATCCCAATGCAGGGTCATCGTGAGTGACCCTCGATGGCATGGGTGTGGTTCTGTGTGACTATTGTAGGCAACATGTTTGCTAGATGGTTCAGAACATCCACAAGTAGATCCTGGCCCCAGCTTCTCACAGGCAACTAACTATGATTCTCAAATCCCTGAAACCCACACGTCTTTGATGGTTCATGTGGACAGAAATCTTAACCTGAATTATCTCAAGCTCCTTAAGCTCATTACAATGTTTTCCCAGTGGTAAAGAACCACCAAGAGGTTGATGGTTCAAACCCAACACCTGCCCTGATGGAGAAAGAGGGAGCAGTGTACTTTCATAGAGATTACAGCCTGGGGAATCCTCAGGGTCTGTTCTGCTCTGTCCTGAAGGCTCTCTGTGAGTTGGAATTGATTAGGTGGCAACAGGCTTGGGGTTTTTAGCTTGTTTGTCCTTGGCTGATAACCAAAAGGATGGCAGATTGGATCCTCACAGCAGGATGGCCTAAGAAAGGCTGATGGAAGCTTCTGTAAAGAGCACAGCCTTTTTCAACTCTGTCATACGAGCCTCGTAACATACGTGGTGAATGGAGGGCAGTGGGGAAAACTTACTCTCTGGGGCTGGAAGTCTGGCCTTCTGTTGCTCTGAGCTGACAATGACTTGTTCCTCCACAAGGTACCGAGACACTGCCCAGGTGAATCTATCCCTGGTGACAGGGAGGGTCACATTTAACTACCTTGCTGTACTCAATGTTTTGTATTCACTCTCCAAGTTCTTCTAATTGGGTTTTGTTTCTTTCCAACTAGAGAACAGACTCTTCATTCAGTATGTCATTGAGTATGTCAGAGACAGCGTGAGCCACGAGGAGCTACATAACCTACTGGCTGATGATAATGCCTGGGAGAGAGTTGTGACTGAAGCTGGCTTGTCCAGGTAAACTCCAGGGTGCTCCAGAAATGACTGGGTTACCTACCTCCTCCGTGCAGTCTCCTGTGGACGGGGTAAAGATACAAGTGAGCCATATAGAATGTTTCCTCCATCACTCCTTGGTCCTGAAGGGTCTCAAGTTGAGACGAGATGAAGCCTGCACGAAGCTGGATCATATCCACCATCTGACAGTTGCCTAACAGTGTGTAAGACACGCCACCATCCACCACCAGTTTATTTGCTGGGTTTTCTGGGGAAAAGAACAAGATAATGCATATACAGAGCTCAGCGTAAGGACTGATACACAGCACATGTACAATTACAGAGTTTCTGGAACAGGCAGGTAGCAAAGACCATCCTCTGGGAGGTCAGGGTCAAGTAGAACTTTATTTGGAAAGAGTTAAAAATATTCCGATGCACTCATTTGTATTCCTGAGCTACTGTTCTGTCATTGTACAAACCACTGTACATTTGGACAATGCAGGACCCTTCTGCTCATCCTCAAGGCAGAGAAGCTGGGGTGGCGTTGGCCATGAGCAGGCTAGAATCCTGACTGTCCTGGCACGCACTTGGGCTCTTGATTAGGTCTATTGTCTCTTAAAGCCATTGATTTATCACCATTCGGTGACAACAGGGATCGGTCTTAAAAGAGTGTGGTGAAGTCTCAGAAGTGAATGGTGGGTCAAAGCTAGGGAACCAGGTGCTGTCATCCCAAGGAGAACTGGACGCGGGAGCAGAGCGAAAGGTCAGGGTGGAGCAGTTTCTCAGAAAGGCTTGGGGCCAAAGGGTAAATTGACTGTGGCAGGTACTTCAGATGCTCTTGGACTGGCAGCAGACAGTTAAGTGAGAACTAGATGTTTCTCCCCTCTTTGGTTTGATGACATCAGAGACAAGTTTTGAGAGTCATTGGTAATTACTTCCTCCACACTTTATCTGAGAGCTAAGAGGTTCTTGACCCCTATTTGTTGTTGTTATGCACCATTGAAGTGGAACCGACCCATAGATGACCCTCTGGCATGTTTTCAGAGGCAGTTATTGGCATAAGAGGAGGCGGTCCATCCTTCGCCCACAGAGCAGCTAATGGACTCAAACTTCATGCCTTTGGGATTGCAGCACAGCTTCTTGCTACTAGGCCACCAGAGCTCCCTTTTCCTGAATCCCATTCAAGATGATCTTTTCTTTAATGTACACAGCACTGGTAGTACACTGGTGGAGCGCTTGATTGCTAACTGAATGGTCTGTGTCTGAAGCTAGGAGGTGCTCCACAGGAGGAAAACGTGGCAGCTAACTTCTGTAAAGATGACAGCTTGGACAGCCGATGAGTCTGTTCCATGAGGTTCTACACTGTTGCTGTCAAGTCCAAGTGCATGGTTGACAAATTTTTGTAATTTGAAGGACTTCCTCCAACATTTCCTGACAAATTCCCACCACAGAAGAAAATATTTCCTTTGCCACTTTGTTTAAAGGAAGGCTTAATAATTTATCTATTTGGTTCTTCAAGTCCCTGTTGTAGTTAAAAGGTTCCATTAAATTGCACATGGCCTTGGAATGCATGCATGTTAAGTTGTCATTAGCAAAGGTGTCAGCTGGTGGCATTCGATTTCAAGGCGTTGAAGTTGAGGGTGCTGGCTGGTAGGTCGTGAATTGGTAATGGTGGGTTGTAGAGTAGAACCAATCTTCCTGCTCAGTCTCCTGTTGCCAGTCAAGAGACACAGCAGTGGAGTTGATTAGAAGTCGTATGATGCACAGACTTGGCTAAGTTGTTCCCGTGTAAGTTAACGGGAACTCAAGGCAAGAGAGGATCCATGTGTTGATAGGTCCTTATCTGCAGTGGGATGTGTTTAGATCAAAATGACTCAGAAAAGGGAGTCAACCCACATTCTCACCTCTTCCAAATATTAGCTTACGGTCTGGATCTCAAGGTTCCTTCATAGATTGGGGGGAAAGTGGCTAGATAAACTTGGACTGTCCTTTTCACAAATAGCATTGACCACCCTTGATTGGAATAATGACTTTACCTAGCATGGATGAATATCTGAAGATAATTTTTGACTATTTATACCCTTGTTGAATCAGTCTTGTGGAATATCTGTGATGTACAACACATATGTGTACATTGGAAAAATATTCTTTGCATTTGTAGAATTCTGCTTTGTTTATAGTAAAAGTTTTTGATGGAGGACAGATTTTATCAAGCCCATTTTGCATATTAGAAAACTATTTTAATTGCTTGATTTTCATTGTTACAGGGATGTGGCAGATGGACTACTTGATGCTCTGAACAAACTTTACATAGATTTGGTTGTGGAAGACATGCTTCGACTAGGACTGCTGGATGGGGAGAAGTTTTTGAGCGAGTTTCCTCAGATGAAAATGGAACTTGAAAAGTGTGTAAGAGAGCTTCATGCCCTTGCAGACAAGATTCAGAAGACACACAGGGACTGTACCATCTCCAACGTGGTGGCCAGCTCTACTGGTGTCATCTCTGGCGTTCTGACCATTACTGGTCTGGCTCTGGCACCTCTGACAGCAGGAGTCAGTCTGGGGCTCATGGCAACAGGGATGGGGCTGGGAACGGCAGCTGCAGTCACGAGTGTTTCTGCCACCATTGTGGACCACTCAGTCCATTTGTCAGCAAAAGCCAAAGCCAGCAAGCTGGTATCAACTGATAACAACACACAGGAGGAAATTGTGAAGGCTGTAGGTCAGAACACAGACAAACTAGTTTCCATTACAAGAACCTGCATCAAAGATACAAGAGTCATTGAGAAGAACATCAATGCCTTCAAGCTGGCCAAAGCTAACCCTAGATTGGCAGCCAACGCCAGACGTTTCATGACCAATGGAAGCATCTCAGTCCGGAAAGGTCGGCAGGTGCAAAAAGCCTTTGAAGGCACTGCCCTGGCAATGACCAAAGGAGCCCGAATGGTGGGTATGGCCTCCACAGGTATCTTCCTTCTGATGGACTTGGCCAGCCTTGTGAAGGAGTCAAAGCACTTGTATGAGGGGGCCAAGACAGAGTCAGCTGATGATCTGAGGCTCAAGGCTTCGATGGTGGAGAAGAAGCTGAAGGAGCTCACTCAGATCTATGAGAGTCTGCAGAGACTGACAATGTTGACTAAGTGTGTGAGCAACATGAGGGACGAGAGTGGCTGTCACCAGGGAAGAAGCATTTTAACTGATGGATAAAAAGGGAGAGATAAAGTCTCTGAAACTGGGTAGTAAGGAGTTTGGCATTTCAGTAGCTGAGCTTGGCAGGGGACACGTGAAAGCAGATGACAAACGGCTTCCACACAAGGAAGGAAAGTGGAGCCACGGAAGGTGGATGAAGTGCCAAAACAATGGTCCTTGATAGTCTTTAAACTTAAACCCAAAATATCCCCTGAGGGCATCTTAAAATGAAATCATTGTCTAACTTAACCTGTAAGGAATGTTGATTCGAGGACTACAGGTTTTAAAGAACTATCCATGTGGGGAAGGAAAAGAATCATTCCTGCATCATTCCTGGCTAGTTACTAGGGATGGGAAGGGAGGGAGTGGGGAATGAGAAGTAGTAAATAGTTAATAGGCACCAATCAAGGAGAGTAAAGTGAAAGGCAATGTCCAATAAAGGGAAGATTAACTGATCAACATAATATCAATTTAAAAACGAAAGGCACAGAGCGATGACGGTTTGAAGGACATCAGAAATACAGAGAAGTGAGAAAAGTGAAATTGTGCTGTGGGTATTGAAATTAATGTTGTAGAACAAAATGTATATGAATAGTTGTATGACAAACTAATTGGTTTCATATAACTTCACTCACATCACAGTAAAAATGTGAGAAATTTTTTTTTAAATAAAGACTTTTGTTTATGGGCTTAACACTGTGTATAGCAACTTGGGAAATTTAGGGGGTTCAGTGAGATTATGTTAATAAGAGAGGAGCAATTCAAGAAAGGACGCTAAGAATGGTTGCAAAACTCAAACAACATGCTATTGTTGTTGACTGCCATCGAGTTGAGTATGACTCATAGCGACCCTATGAACCAAAGGCCTGAAGCCTTTCTGTAACTATCGTCATTTATCGAAGTTCATAGTGCATGTTGCTTAGGAAGTGAATGCCACTCTTGCTTCCAAACCTGTCTTAAACTGGGAGTTTCAGCAAATACTGTCCACCATGGGTAACCTATATGGCATTTGACACCACAATGGCACAAGGTTCAGCATCACAGCAACCCCAGATTACCTCAGTACAGCATATTGACAAAAGAGTGCTGTACCACTTAGAAGAATGTTCCTCCAAAATATAATAACAACTGAATTTTAAATACCAAGGCTGTTGACTCTAAACAAGAGGCTTAAATAAAAACCTATCAACTTAGGATGTTTTGTTGTTATGTGCCATTGAATCGCAATGTACACAGTAACCTTGTGTACAGCAGTGCTGAACTCTGCCCTGTCCTGAGACAGTCTCACTAATTCAAACACACCAACCCCCATTGCCCCAGATACTGCATTAATCCATCTTATCTGGGGTCTTCCTCTTTTGCGCTGCCCTCCACACTTCCGATCATGTTGCTCTTCTCCAATGACCTGTTTCTCCTGGCCATGTGCCCAAAGTATGTGAGATGGGGCTTCAAAATCCTAGCCTCCAAGGGGAAACTTGGTTTCACCCTCTCTAAGACAGACCAATGTGTTTTCTTGGCAGTTCATAGCATGTTCAAGACTCTTCTCCAGCAGAACAACTCAAAGGCATCTATTCTTCTTTTGTCATCCTTAGTCATTGTCCAGCTCTCTTATGCATAACAAGTAATTGAGAAGACCATGTCCTGGATTAGGTGCACCTTTGTCTCTAGACTGACATAACTCCTTTTCAGCACTCTGGAGACGTCCCTGACAGCAGATTTTCCCAATGCAATTCATCTTTTTATTGCCTGACTGTTGGTGCTAAGAGTGTTGATTGTGGAGCTGAGCAAGCTGTAATTACTAACAAACTCAATGTCTTCTCCATCAATCATGGTGCTGCCAATTGGCCCAGGGGTGAGAGTCTTTGTCTCCTTGCTGTTGAGCTTCAATCCATATTGAAGACTATAGTCCTTGACCTTCTGCAGCAAACACTTCAGGTCTTTTTCAGTTTCAGCAAGCAAGGTTGTGTCATCTGCATATCATAGGGTGTTAATGAGTCTTCCTCCAGTCTTGATGCCACACTCTTCCTCACAAAGCCCTGCTTCCCAAATGATTTGTTCTGCATAAAGAATGAAAATGTACAGTGATAGGATGCATCCCTGAGGCACTGCTTTTCTGATTTTGAACCATGCAGTGTTTGCTTACTCTCTTCTTAGGACTGCTTCTTGGTCCAAGTATAGGCTCCACATAAGCACAATCAAGTGTTCTGGGATTACCATTTTCTTCAAGGTTAGCCACAATTTTTTGTGATCTATACAGTCAAATGCCTTTGCATAGTCAATGAAACACAGATAGACATTCTTCTTGTACTCTCTGCTTTCTGCCAGGATTCACCTGACGTTGGCAGAATTGTCTCTAGTGCAGCAACCTTTTCTAAACTCAGCCTGTATTTCTGATAGTTCTCTGTCAATGTCTTTTCCAGTTGTTTCTGGATAATCTTCAGCAGGATTTTCCTAGTGTGTGATATTGTTCAATAATTTCCACACTCTGTTGGGTCACCTATTTCTGGGACGGGAATAGATATGGATCTCTTCCAATCAGTATAATCAATGTTATTGAATTGCCCATGTAAAATCTGTTGCATTGGTGTATGTTTTGCAGTGTATTTTCTAAACAATACCAGTAATAAAGATAAGACAGGAAAGCTACAGGTCAAAATAAGAATTAAGAGACTAGACATTGAAGGGAATGGAAAGAAAATCTGTAGGGAGTTGCATTGCTAAGCTAAGGGTGGTGCCTATCTGGGGATCCAGTCTATCAAGGGTTCCTCAGGAGGAAGAAGGACATTCTCCTCCTAATGTGGAATTAACTCCCAAGGTGTGGATTACAGCCTCTTATAAACTCACTGGGGGGGGTGAGCTAAATTGACTCTGGTAATGAATTGAGTTGAGTAAAGAAGAAATCGGGAGTATGAGTGGAGAGAGTGACATACAGGAAGAAACAAAGGGAAAATAACTGTTGGAAAGGAAAGAAAGCCAGAGTTAGGATTGTTATAATAGAGAGATCGATCACTCAACTAGTGACCTTCCCTATGTCTTAATGTTCATGCAAGTGTAAAGATTTTCCCAGGTGGAGGTCTCTAGCCCTAACTTTCCAGGATCAACTCATCCTTGTCTTTGACTGCGTATACCTCACCCAGACAATGATATGATGATGATGATGATGATGATGATGGGGTGGTGGTAGCTACATTTAGCAAATCATCAGTCCTCCTTGGGTAGAGTTTCAAATTTCCAAAACCTACTACATAGCTACAGTAATCAAAACAGCTTGGCTGGTATAGTGATAAGTGATAAGCCAGTGAAATAGGACTAATTGAGAACCCAGGAATAAATCTATCCACCTATAGACAACTGATCTTTGTTAAAGAGATAAAATCGTTTAAGTGGGGAAAAGACAACCTCTTCAACAAATGGTGTTGGTAGAACTGGACAATAATTTCTTAAAAGTTGAAGCAAAACCCTCACACTATATATGAAAACTAACTCAAGATGGATCAAGGACCTCAAAGTAATACCCCAAACTATAAACATTATTGGTTTTTATTAAAATCCTCAAGAGCTCTAATCTGTAGCACAAATACACTACCAAACATAATTGAAAATACACAATTAACACAAGAAAAGCTAAATTATTGAGTCCTTAAAAATGAAATTCTGTGTACATCAAAAGAATAATAAGCAACATTATCTGAGAAAAAATATTTGACAATGACTCATCTGACAGTGAACTCATCTTTAAAGTTTATAAAAAGACCTCTCACTTCAACAAGAAAACCAAAAACAACCAAATTACAAAATGAGCAGGGGCCATGAATAAACACTTCACTAAAGAAGACTGTAAGATGACCAACACAAGAAATGCTCAAGATCATTAGCTACTGTTGTTGTTATGTGCCCTCAAGTAGGAACTGACTCACAGCTGACTCTCCAGTGGGTTTTTCAAATCACATGGGAGGAGATTTCCCATCTTTTCCCCAAGAAACAGCTGCTCCATTAGAATCTCAAACCTTCAGCTTGGCGGCACAAATCCTCACTAAACTAGCAGAGTTCCAATATTACTTATTGTTCTGTTGTTGTTTGCCCTCAAGTAGGAACCAACTCATAGCTGAACTTTCAGATTTTCAGACTATAAATCATATGGGAGGAGATTATCCATCTTTCTCCTTCTTGAGCAGCTGGTAGATTTGGTCCATGTGCCTTTAAGTTGGCAGCATTATCTCCTTACCCACTAGCCTAAGAGAGCTCTTAGCTATTGTTATGTGCCATCAAGTTGCCTGCAACTCATAGTGACCCTATGTTCAATAGCTCTGAACCCTGTCCTATCCTGAGCCAGCCTCACTGACCCTGACACACCTAGTCCCATTGCCCCACTTATTGTGTCAATCCATCTCATCTGGGGTCTTCCTCTCCTGTGCTATCCCTCCACCCTTCCAAGCATGATGTCCTTCTCCAAGGACTGGTCCCTCCTAAACACAAAGTAGGTGATATGGAGCTTCAAAAGCCTTCCTTCCAAGAAGAAACTTGGTTTCACCATCTCAAGACAGACCTACTTGTTCTCCTGGTGGTCCATAGTATGTTCAATACTCTTCTCCAGCACTATAACTCAACGGCATCAATTCTTCTTCTTTCATCCTTAAGTCGTTGTCCAGCTCTCTGAGGCATAGCAAGTAATTATGAAGAACCTGGCCTGAATCTGATCACCTTAGTGCTATTGTTGTTGTTGATTGCTGTTGAGTTGAGCATAACTCAGAACAACTTTGTGAACAAAAAACCTGAAGCTTTTCTATAACTATCATCATTTCTCAAAGTTCATAGAGTTTCCAGAGGCATGTTGTTTAAGAAGTGGATGCCACTCCTGCTTCTATTAGAGAAATGAAAATAAAAACAACAATGAGATATCATCTCATCTCAGCAAAAATAACAATGTTCAATATGAAAACAAATAACAAATGCTGGAAAGGTTGTGGAGAAACCAGAACTCTCAAACCTTGCTGATAAGGATGTCAAATGGTGCAACCACCATGGAAACGGTTTGGCAAAGTTGGGAATAGAAATACCATTTGATCCTACAATCCTACTACTTAAGTATGTGTCCCAAGAAATAAGAGCTGCAACACAAGCTAATATATACTCAAGTTTACCGAAACTTTACTTTAATAGCAGAGTTGTAAATGTCATCAGTACATGAATTGTTACTGAAACAGTGGTGTAACACAATGAAGTGTTGTTTTGTGCTATGAAGTCAATTGAGACTCATCGTGATCCTATGCACAATAGCTCTGAACTCTGCCCTATTCTGAGCCAATCTCACTACTTCCAGCACGCCTACTCCACTTACACCAGTTACTGTGTCAATTCATCTCCTCCAAAGTCTTTCTCTCCTGTGCTGTCCCTCTACCCTCTACAAGCATGATGTCCTTCTCCAAGGACTTGTCCTTCTTGGCAACATGCCCCAAGTATGTGAGACAGAACTTCAAGATTCTTGCGTCCAGGGAGCAACTAGGTTTCACTCTCTCCACAACTCAAAAGCACTGATTCTTCATCTGTCATCCTTAGTCAAAATGAAGTATTAGGTATCACTACACAATAGAAAGATAATTGATGCCTTTGATCTGTGGTGCTGGAGAAGAGTGTTGAATATACCATGGACTGATAAGAGGACAAATAGGTTTGTCTGGAGAGGGTGATGCTGGGATGCTCCTTGGAACCAAGGATTCTGAAGCTTCATCTGATATGCTTTGGGCATGTTGCAAGGAGGGACTAGTCCTTGAAGAGGGACATTATATCTGGGAGAGTGGAGGGGCAGTGCCGAAGAGGAAGACCCTTGATGAGATGGATCGATTCAGCAATTAGGGTAGTGGAAGTAGGTGTGTTGGAGACAATGAAGTTGGCACAGGATAGAATAGAGTTTAGGGCTCTTGTGTATCGGGTCACTATGAGTCACAAGCAACTCGATGGCATATAACAACAACAAACATGCAAGAATTTGTGAAATACTATACAATAGTATGGATCAATATTGTACTTAAATGAATGGATAAATACTATTGTAATGGACAAATCTACAAATTATGCTCAGTAAAGTAAGTCCATCATAATAGGACAATTATAGTACAAGATTGTTGGGGGGGGCTGGCTAACTTGCCAAGCAAGATCAGTACTACATTGCAAAACGAGCAGAACTGGTTCCACCTTAGCTAGAGCGTTTGCTTGGCGGTAAACAAGTCCAGGAAGCAGAATGTTAATGAATTGGGAGTGACCATAGCAGGAATGTGATGCTCTTTATCTTCAAGAGATTCTTTGTTCCTCAAAGCTCACAATGAGACATTCCAGAAGATATCTTTGTTTTGTGTTTAGGTCTGTGAGAGTTAATGTTAAACCTGACCGTTAACAACTCAGGTAGATAAGAAATAATGTGATTATCCCTGCAGGCATGTTTCTAAGACCTATATAAACCTTTTCCAGAATATTAAAGCTTGCTATTTGCTATCAGCACAGCCTCTCTGCGTCTTCATTCAATCCTAGCCCCTTCTCTAGTGGAACTGTTTCGATATATCAAGGCTGGACCTCGATACAAGATCATCAATATAAAATGCCAAGGAAAGGTTTACATATAGAGAAAATCAATCTTGGAGGTTGAGCAAAGTTGAGAAGGGAAGGAGAGGGGAGTGAGAATTAATAAATACATAAGCTGGGCGAAGGGAAAGGAAATTGACAATAACTGATAAGACAGAATTAATTGCATCAACAAACTAATTAATGCTCTGAAATGAACTATCTATGAATTATTGAATGAAAACCAAATATGATTTGTAATCTTTCATACTAATTTATATAAAAGCTTTTAAAAGGCTTTTGATGGATTGCCAAAGGAACAAACAAATACGTTTTAGAGAGGATGCAACCAGAATGCTTCTTAGAGGCAAAGATAATGAGGCATTGCTTCACAAAATTAGGGCATGTTGGTAGGAGGGACTATTTCTTGGAGAAGGACATAATTTCCTTATGTCTACAAGGAATAGAATATTTATTATTTATTAAGTTTTTAATCACTTCCCTAGCCAATTCTTTTCCTGTCTATCTGTATCTACTTTGAACAGTGTCTCTAGTGAGCAGGATATAATCTCTTTAGTGATTGGATATAATTTCCTTGAATCTTTGGTATTTATTCCCGACTGAATGAGCTTGTGAATTCCCTTTTTTCTCCCCAGATTTTTCTGGTTTGTCACCGTGGACTAGACATGAGAATGTTATAGGTGTCTTTGTTTTTACTAAACAATGCTCTAATTTTAGCTAGTGTGAACTATTGTTGTTGTTAGTTGCCATCAAGTACGACTCACAGTGATGCTATGAACAAAAGATCTGAAACCTATTCTATCCTGCACCATCTTCACTCTTCCTGACACACAAGGGTCCATTGCAGCAGTCACCATGTCAATCCACCTGGTTGAGGTTCTTCCTCTCCTTCACCGACCTTCCACCCTTCCCAGCATCATGTCTTTCTCCAAGGAATAGCCCTTCTTAGCAACATGCTCAAAGTATGTGAGGCAAAGTCTCGTTATTCCTGCCTCTAAAGAGCACTCTGCATACTCTCCAAAATCATCTTTTCATTCTTATGGCCATCAGTGGGATGTTCAGTGTTTTTCTCCAATACTACAGCTCAAAAGCATCAATTCTTTTTCTGTCATCATTATTCACATGCTATATATAAGGTGAATAGTGATAAAAAAAATATAATTTTTTTGCAACTTTTAAAATAGAGTTAGCTGTTAGTATACCAATTGTTTGTAACTCTTTTCCAGGAACTTTGTTTACTAATTTTGTAAGTTAAATTCCCCAATCCTGAAAGTTTACATGTTCCACTTCACCCAGAGGAACCTCAGAAAACAAGAGACCTGGCAAACTACTTTCCGAGAAATTCAGCCATTGACAAACTCCTGGAGCGCAGTGCTGCCCTGAAGAGCACGGGGCTGAGGTGAGCGGGAATCAACCCAAGGGCAATTGGTTTATTTATCTCGAGTCCTTTCTGGGTTCTTACCGTAGTCTTCCTACCTGGTCAGCTGTAGCTCATTTGGCTATTTATTTGTATTCTGTGTCTCTCAGAAGCTTTTCTGGCTGTCAGCTCAAAGCATGCTAATGAAAGGGAGAAGATTCAGTAGGCAGTGAGGTTACACGGAGGAGAAATAATGAAAGGATTTTACACAAGGAGAGGTGGTCACAGGTATCAAATGCCAAGTTTGATTTCAGCCCCGGCTCCTCCCCTGAGGTGCTGAATGAAAAGCGAAGACCCTCCTCCTTGTCTCAGCTTCCTCTTCTGCAAAATTGGCTTAGAATCCTGGTTCCTCCACCAAGTAATTATAAAACATACAATGTGCTCTTACAATAAACATAATGCCCTAAAATAAAATACTTTTGAACTATTCTCTCGCCCATAGACTTCAATGCCGTAAACATATTTTATTTTAGGGCATTATGTTTATCGTAAGAGTACGGAATGAGGGTTGCAGAGTGGATTATATTTGGGGTTGGGGTGTGGTTGGGGGATGTGCGGGGGCGGGGGGTATTGTGTACCAGTGAGGGAGTTTTTCTTTTGCTTTTCAAGGAGAGGAGCAAAAGGAAGGGGGGGAGGGGGGAGGGGTTTGTGCGGAGAGAAGGGTGCAACAATGAATGAATGGAATTCCAAAATCTCTGTAGATGTTCATTGAAATGAAAAATAAATTTAAAAAAAAAAAACCCACAACATACAATGTGGAGAAGACAATGCCTTGCAAAGTGTCGTGTGTTGTTCTCATGCAAAGAGAACTGCGATCCTCTGTCCTTTTCTCAAAAGTCTGGGAAGACTCTTCTTTGGGAGAGAGTGGCCATAATTTCCATGGACATCAGCCAAAGGTGAAGCAGGTCCTGACGAAAGAGGGAGTAAGGGGCATTCTGAATTTCAACTCCTTATTTCTAAAGCAGAGAAAACAAGCAGTAACCCCAGCTCCATGACTTATTGGAAATAAACTTTTTTCCCCCCGTTTGTTTGTAAAATGAGAAGAATAAGTCCCAGTGCTGATGTCCAGCCCTAGTCTGTCCATTTGCTGTGCTGTGATGGCTTGAACGTCACTGTGATGTTGTGAGCTACACTACTGGGGTTTCAGTTACCAGCCGGGTACTCATGGTGAACAGGCGTAAACTGAGCTTTCAGACTAAGCAGCAGGACTGACTACTTGTGAAATTACGAGTCCTCAAAAACCATATGAATCATAACAGAACGTTGTCCAGTATGGAACAAAAAGATGGAAACTTCAGATTGGAAAGTTCTCAAAATATGACTAGGAAAGAGCTCCTTCCTCAAGGTAGAGTCTCCAGTCCTGGAAAAGGACGTGATGCTTGAAAAAGTAGAGGGGGATTGTTTCTTGGCCTTTTGGCTAAGATAAAGTGAAAAAGTGGAGGGAGAAGGAAGGAGAGGTAGGCTCTCAACAAAGTAGGTTGACATTGTGTTTGCAACAATAAATTAAGTATGATGATGGATGTGAGAATGGTGCAGGATAGGGTACGGTTTAGATCTGTTGTTTATAAGCTTGCTGTGAAGTTGAAGTCAAAGTGACCCCCCTTAACGACAACAATTTTCAAAATAAACTTAAAGTCATATTGCTGCTTTCCAGGACTTGTTTTTATTTTCTTCAGTCTCAATTTGATTTTGCACCTGAGAAATTGATGGTCTGTTCCACAATCAGCACCTAGCCTGGTTTTGACTGTTGATCTTGAGTTTCTCCAGTGATTCTTCCCACAGGTTTAGGCAATCTGATTCCTACACAATCCATCAGGGGAGGATCATGTGTAATGTCACTGAAGTTTTTTTTTAAAAAGGTATTTTCTGTGATTAAATAATTGAGCATACAAAATTCAATCACTCTGTTTTCAGTCTTGTTTCTGTCATTAAGTCGGTATTTTCCAACCACGTTTCCTTTGTAATTATTTCCATCTTTTGCATTTTAGTCACCAATTATCATTAATGTGTCTAGATTGCATGTTTGGTCAATTTCAGACTGCAAAATGTGGTAAAAATCTTCAATTTCCTTCTCTCTGCCTTTAGCTGTTGGCCCATCTATTTGAGTAATAGTTGTATTAATAGGTCTGGCTTGATTATGTATGTATAATATATCGTTCACAACATTGTACTTCAGGATATGTCTTGAGATTGTCTGTAACTATTAATGCAACATCATTCTTCTTATGTTTTTGTTCTCAATCTAGTATACAATATGATTGTCTGATTCAAAGTGGCAAAGCTAGTCAGTCCATCTCATCTCACTAATGCCTAGAATATTGATGTGATATGTTCCATTTCATTTTCACAGCTTCTAGTTTTCCAACATTCATACATCATACATTTCGTGTTCCAACTATTAAAGGATGGCTGCAATGGTTTCTCCTCATTTATATTTATTTCTAATCTGGGCTTTACCTCTAATACTATAACTATCTGTGTTCTTCTATTGTACATAGGGTGTTCAGAAGTCTGCTCTTTCAAGAAGTGGTTGACCAATCCTTATTCCTAGCCTGTCTTAATCTAGGAGCTCTATTAAAACCTGTCCACCATGGGTGACCCTTCTGGCATTAGACACATCATTGGTACAGCTTTCAGTATCATATCACTCAAAAGTTACATTAGTACAGCAAACTGACAGACAAGTGCTGTGCTAATAAGAACAGTGATACACAATCAACAGTATAAATATTTAAGCTGTAAAGTAATTGTTGCTGTTGTTGTGTGCTGTCAAGTTTCAACCAACTGATAGCTGACCCTCCCATGGGTTTTCAGAGGCAGTAATTTACACAGAAGAAGATTGCCTATCCTTCTGTGGATAAGGTGGTGATTTGAACCACGTGCCTTTGGGATTGCAAAGCAGTTTCTTATCATTAGGCAATTTGAGCTCCTTCAATATGCAAATCATCTCCCGCCCAGTACAGCAAATTGATTGTTAAGTCTCATAGTTTAATAGGCACCAAGTCTGAATCCCAGACACCAGCTCTAGGGGAAAGCTTTCTGTCTCAGAGAATTCTGAAGGAAGGACCTTGTCTCTCAGTTTGTGTTCCTGGGCCATCTTACTGTGGCTTAGTGTCTCTGTTCTCACAGCAAATCAGGCAAATAAAAAGTGATGGTGTGATTCCTGTAATGGCTGCTTCCTAAGAGGTGTCACGTGGAACCTCTTAGCCTCAGCATCTGGAACTCTGCAATTGGAGTCCTTTAGATCAGGATTGTGTATACACCCCATTTCTTTGGATGTATCAGCCCTCAAGATCCCAGCATCATGGCTTCCAGTGCATCGCAGCTGCTGCTGGTCCTCATGTCTCTTCTTGCGGTGCTGCCCGTCGTTGAAGCAGTTGAAGCAGGAGATGCTGTGGTTCTCAGCATCACAGGCATCTGTACTTGCTTAGGGGTGTATGCATGAAAGAGAAGTGGACAGATGTGACTTTGAAGGGTCTCCTGAGTCATGCCTCACCCTGCAAACCCTGTCACTCCCAGTGGAAGTTAAAGCTGTTCTCTGATATATGATAGTTTCTAAGAAAGCAGTAAATAGGGTTGTTTCACTTCTTAAATGTTTGCCTCTACCTGGGAACAGATTAATGTATGTTCCGTGGGGAATGATGCTTTCTTCACATCAGAAATGCAGGCTGCAGTTAGTATTTGCTGGTTAGGAAGGAGGGACAAGAAATGACTATGGTATATGAGATGGGGAAAAAGCGGCCCGTTGTCCAGATGTTGAGGAAATAGCCATTGTTTAGTTAGAACTCCTGCCTCTTGGCTCATGGAAGACTCTCTTGTCCAACTTTTTATTGGGTTTGTGTTTTGTTCTCTAATTCCTGTTGTACTTCTATAGGAAACTCACTGCCGTTGAGGCGGTTCCAACTCCTGGTAGCAGCTCTCCAGTTTCACAGGGCTGTAAATCCTACTGGGAGGAGATGGCCTGTCTTTTCCCCAGGGAGTGGTGGGTGGAGTCAAACCACAGGAGACAAGGCTGCTAAGTTAACCACTCAGCCATCAGAGTGCCAAGGGTGAAACTTCATCAGTCAAATATCAAAACCTTTATTTCTTTGGAAGAAAAAAAGCTTAGAAAATTTATACAGTGTATCTAATATTAAAATGGAGGGGGAAAATAATGTTAAAAGACTATATTGAAATAGAGAAAAGATTTATTGTTTAAAATTTTAAAAACCTTTCTATTGATTAATGCACTCATGGTGAGAAACGC